TGACCGTCTCGTCTTCTAATTCCTCGCAGGCTTTTATAAACCTATACTTCGATGCCGTGTCATCCATATCGAGGAATGGTAATTTCTTCTCAAAGACGGCTCGTAAATATCGGAGGAAATAATACGCCTCCATGTAATGAAACGTCGTAGAAATGATTTCATGGCGTCCCTTTAGGAAGATGGGGACGTTGGCATACCCCAAAATGTTGCGTATGATTTTTCTTGGGCCACACAGCTTTTTAGGTGCGCGCAAATCGAATAAATACTTGTTCTGATACAATAATTCACAGTCGTTTAAAATCCTTACGTCGGTGATGATGCGTTCGCTTTACCGTCCTCGCTACGACTGATGTCAAACTGCCTATTCCTCGAGTTTTTAGGGAATATCCATCAGTCGTTCATTGACGAGTCGACGTAAAGGGTATTGACCTTTCGGGCAACGAATTAGATAATAGGGACTTTAAGAAACCACGACGGCGACGCCAAGGAAGACTTCGATTAAAAAATTAATTTCTACTCTTAGTTAGAATTTCAAAAATGGCTGCAGGAGCTAACTGTCTCACACAGCGTAACCGCTCAACCTCAGCATGACGTAAAAAGTAGCCGTTGAGTTCCAAATGGAAATTAAAATAATTTGCCGTCGCGGTTTCGGTTCGCAGACGACGCAAATTTTGGCGATTTCACGTTGTTGTTTTGCATAGGACGGCTAAGAAATGTACAAAGTTTCAAAACGCACATGCTGAGCTATTGATCTGCCAATTAGATCTCTTGTTTTTCCACGTCCTCGTTGCCGTCGCCGTCGTAGTTTCTTAAGGTCCCTAATAGGGAGTATAATACCAACACGATGTACATTGGAACCATATTTTTCTGGTTTATACACACTCGTTTTACCCCAAGTATGAATTATCCCCCCTGTTTAGGCATCTTTCAAGTCGACTTGCGCTATGTTCTCTGTGATTTTTTGTACCCACTTTGGAATATACACTGCTCTCAACCCTTTTTGCTGCGTTTCCCTTTATATTTCGTCCTTTAATAGACACGATTCACATTGAACGCAATCGCAAAAAAATTCGTGAAAGGAATGCACGACTACACTGAACCATGTGGTATTTAACCGTTCGATTTATATGCGTTTTTCTGTGACAGTTTGTCAATCAAAACTAGACAGGCATATACGTTCAAACACACATTTATTCATAAAAACCATTACATTTTAAAAAAATATTTCAGTTCATTTTCTAAACCCATTACAATCAAGAAAGCAAGTTCAGAATACCCGTCCACCTCATTTACATGTGTCGGGAGGCTTTGAAGAACGAGGCATAACACAATAGACGCTCTTCTTATTTAATAACATGTAAATGAGGTGGCCGGGTATTCTGAAGTTTAGCCCAATTTCTCCGGTTCAGTCTGGGGTCGACCAGGTAGATTGACTGCTCCCACTCCACTTTCCTCCTGATTCTTTCTACTTCTCTCTCCACTTAACTCCGCTTTCTTTCTTCTTTAAATTCCTGGTAACATCTTCTTCTTTCTTCGATTTCGTTTTTGAACTCAGCAATCGATTCCTGTAACACAAGTCTTTCCGTTTCTCTACATGCGCTGGCTACATTTTTACGTCTTTCCTGTCTTCATATCAGGTATCGACAGGAACTTTAGGCTACGAGGAAAGGTCCCATTTGCCGCATGCAATGCGTAACGCTTTAGTATCCACTCTTTAAGCCTGAGCCCTCTCTTCATCTTCCTTAGCTGTTCTCTATACTCCTCACTTGAGAAGGACATATCTGCCTGTGAGAGACGAACGTTACTCTGATGCGAAACCACGTGGAGACCCTTTACACTAATGACCTTTCTTTTATTTTAGACACACAATGACCTCTACAAAAGAAATGTTTCTAGCTCACTTGGACGAAGAGATTGAGCACAATCCCAAATGGGCCGGAGCCATCCTAGATGAATTATAAGCCATCGTCAAAGAAAAAGCCACCACACACGATCTTTGCGATATAAGTAATCAAGTGACGAAATACATTGACGAAATTGAAACCTACGATTCTAAAGTGGGAGAACAAACTATTTTCCATCAGTTGTACAGAGATATGATGACTGCCTTTCTAGCTTATGTCACGTATTTGCAAATCAAATACCGTGTTGTGCGACAATAAATATTACGTATGCAAAAACAGTGTGTTGGACTTAATCCCACCGCCATCTTGAACTCTTTTTTTTCCTTTGTTTAAGACGGCGCCTTCAAAACCAATATTTTTTGAATAGATGCAAAAACTCAACACATGAACCTACGCGGTATGAATACTAATTTCTATCCCTCTCCTCCATTTTTTTCCTACCTCCTACACCTACGTGGTATGAATACTAATTTCTAACCCTACACCCACCCCTCCCTCTTCTTTTCTTAACCCTATCCCTAACCTCCTACACCTACGTGGTATGAATATGAATGAACCCCCGTACACCTACGTGGTGTGAATTAATTAACCTCGGACGAGTGACTCGGACCCAGACCTCTACGGAATGGCCAGTCAGACGCCAACTCGCGTTATTTGGAACCAAACAAACATTCCTACATAACAAAAACGTGCATTTAATAGACCACTTTTATAAATGGCTGTCGTATAAATTTTCTTTTGTTTAAATTTAAATTAGCCCTTCTGGCCTCGCTTCAGATAATGTATTCTTTTGAATTTTGTACTGGAGAACGAGGCCAGTAGGGCTAATTTAAATTTAAACAAAATAATATTTATACGGCAGTCATTTATGAAAGTGGTCTATATTCGCACAAAAGCGACATAACTAATGGAACGAACAGAAAAATAACAGGGGATAATATACTCTGTTTGAGCAAAAACATAACAAATGTAAGCTTAATAATCACGGTAGAGGTCACAGAAATATAACAATTACGTTTATCCTCACTGATGAAAGTCCAACATGGCATCTTTGTTGTCGTTCCTCAGAGTTTGATCACGAGGCACCTTGTATTTATCAGAAAATATTCTCCCGTCACTCTGTCCACATCCACATTTCAGTGGTCACTGATAACTCATTTGATTTCTGGTTTGATTCTCGAGAGACCTTCGCTAAATCATTTGATTCTCTTACTATTTTGAGTTCGCGAAACGATCGGTTCGAAATATACGCTCATTACACGTGCCATCTTTTAGAGTGGGTCTACCGCGAACGGTGTGTGGGTCTGTATGTTTAAGCGTAGAAAAGATGACACAATTTGTTAACACATTCGACATGTCCGCCATCTTTGAAATCGTGGAAAAAAGGTTGCGCCTTTATTGTTACGTGTCTGCGGTATTCCCTATCGCACGTGACGGAGTTTTGTGGAGAAACCCGATGGTAAACCTATAGTCGGTCGCCCGACTAATTAACAGTCTAAGTTTACAGAATCATAGGTAATCATTGTTGGCCCCAGAGGATAGGGGAACCATTAGGCTTTAAATCATTATGATATATGTTATACTTATATCAGTAAATGGCTTGAACTCGGGATAACATGTGAAGGTTTAGTCTGATCGTCCGGGTGAGTGTACTCCCGGAGAAGGACTGTTGTCGGTGGTAGTGACTGACGTTTCGACAACCTGTGCGGAAGTCATCATCAGACAGCTTATCCGACGAGAACAAATACCTTCACCGTGTTTTTTCGAAGAACAACTACGACAACGACTTCATCCGACGAAACACTCACCGACCCACTACCACTACCGAAACAAGGGACACCGCAACCCCTACGACTACAGCAACCATACCGTACATAAAAGGTATGTCTAAAAACATCTCGCGCATCTTACTACCCTTCAATATCCGCGTCGCCCACAAACCCATCACCACACTACGTCAGTTACTAACCAACGTTAAAGACAAAGACGAACCGAGGAACAGACAGGGAACGATTTATAAGATCAATTGTTCCGACTGCCAAGCCTCCTACATCGGTGAGACTGGCAGAAACCTCACAACAAGACTGACTGAACACAGACGGGCGACGAGGAAAGGTGATGTCAGCAATCACATTGCTGAACACCATCGACTTACCAACCACAACATTGACTGGGACTCTGCGCAATGCCTAACCTACAGCACTGACTATTTTCAACGACTGACTCTGGAAAGCTGGTTTACTAACTTAGAACAGACTCCCCTAAACAGATGTCAACAACTACCCGCCCCATACAAACGACTCATTCACGACATAAACATCACAAACGACCGAAAAAGAACAACCTAGCTTTACCGACAGACCGAAACAGACCAATCACGAACGACTTACGTCACTTGAGTCTTACAGCCAATAACATCACGGCAAAACCAACCGATCATTTCACACGAACTGGAATAAGAACATTCTACTGACAACAATCACTCACTTGACTCTGATGATGACTTCCGCACAGGTTGTCGAAACGTCAGTCACTGCCACCGACAACAGTCCTTCTCAGGACTACACTCACCCGGACGATCAGACTACACCTTCACATGTTACCCCCGGGTTCAAACCATTTACTGCAAAAATATATAAGAAACAAA